TCATGCCTGGGAAGCCACTGGGGACTTGGGAAAATGCAGGAGGCTGGGTCCTGCCCCAGGGCCTCTCACTCAGCAGGTCTGGGTGGGGCCTGAGACTGGACAACACAGGTCCCAGGTGAGGGGGGTGTGGCCCAGTGCTGTGCGGCTCTGGACCTAGTCCTCCCGGCACCCGGGGCCTGGGCTTGGGACAGAGCTGTGATGCAGGCAGGCCGTTCCCCCTGTTTTCTGGGGACATTACATCCTCTTAGCTCAGAACATGCAGGCATCCAGGATTGTTGTTCACATCCCTCCTCCATGCTCTTTTTGAGAACTTTCACCAGGTATGTCAGGAGCTGCGCCTCCACCAGGGAGGCCCAAGTGGAAAGCCTCTTCCTTGTCCTCCAGGAGAAAGGAAAACCTACAGCTACAGTTCCAGGGACAAGAGCAATGCATGTGAGGTGTGGCAAGTCTCATGGTTCCACCGTGGAAATCAGAGATGGCTTCCTGGAGGCAGTGACACCTGGACAGGCTTCCCCACGGAAGGAGGGAAGTGAGTGGGAGGAGCCAAGTGGGAGGAACCCATCACTTAGTGGGAACTGCACATGCAGAACTGACAACCACCCCCACCCTAGGCCCAGAGCTCTCAGAGAGAGCTGGGCCCCTCGGGGGACACCACATAGTTCCCACTAGATCTTAGGTCTTGCCCCTGGGCAGTGCTGCTGAGACCTCTATGCCTGTCCCAGGCTGAACCAAGGTTTTCTGACTCTGAGTTGCTGCATTTTTACTAAGGGACAGAGGGACACTGCCCCCAACCCCCAGGGAGCTGAACCGGCTCTCCCATGGCTCGGCCCACAGCTCCAGCCGCAGGGATGTCAGAGGATCAGAAAACTCCTTTCCACCTTTAAATCAGCGGCTGGCAGAGTCCGTGGAGCTCCTGGGGGGCTGGGAGACAGGCAGGAAGCCCCCCAGGCAGGCGGGCAGGGGCCCATGCGGGAAGGTTGACCTTTGATCCTCCTCTGATGGCCCAATGGGAACTGTGAGCACCCAGCCACCCGCTGGGAAAGGGCTGAAGCTGGAGCAGCCACAGCGGTGTCCTCTCTCGTAGTAGTGGTCCTGAAACAGAGACATGGTCAGGGCGGCGTGCTGAAAGGCATTGCTGAATGAGGCCTCCGACTGTCCTAGAGCCAGCATACACCACTCCAGGGGCAGAGAGGGGAGAGCAGGAGCAGGAGCGATTCCAGGGCAGAGGCAGGCTCTGAATCTGTGGAGATCCTCCCTGAGGCACCCTCTGCACCTGTAGGGTCCAAGCCCAGCGCTGGCTCTGCAAGGATACGGCCACTCATACTGTGCACCTCAGCATGGGGCATCTGTGGGTCTCTCTGAAGGTGGGCACCTGGGCAGCCTTCCTGAGGGGTCACAGCACCCCTGCAGGCATCAGAGATTCCCTCTGTCCCTTTCCCCGCTGGCCATGGCTGGGGCAGAGCAGCACCGCGTGGTTTGGCTCTGGACAGCCGTGATGTCTGCAGGGACCTCCCCTCGCTCCCTCTCTGCACCCTGAGGCTTCACCTGTTGGTCAGAAAGTGGCAGCAGAATCCAAAATAAGAGTGCAGCATGTCACCTACCAGCTCCAGCCCCTGGGGGCCGAGTGGGGACTTGGTGCTTCCATCCAGCAGAGGCCCTGATGTTCAGCTGCACCAGAGACACCCAGGCAGGGCGTCACCTGCATGGTCAGCTGCAGGGCTGGGCTGGGGTTGGTAACCACTGCCGTCTCTCGGCCCGCAGCATCCTCGCACGTGCTGCTTTGGTCCTGACGGGCAGGGTCCGGGCCTCTCATTAGACCAGGGTTTCTCCCCACGAGGCCCGGAGAGGAGCCTTCTGGCCACTCCTGGTTCCAACAGGAGGAGAGCAGCAGGCCTGAGCTTTGTATATACACCAACTGCCAAACCTTTGTATAATCACCGTGTCTTTCCTGAAACTTCTCTTTAGAAAGCTTCTGTTTGTATGTGCAAGGCAGTGCACATGTGAGCATGTCAGTTACAGCAGGAGATGGGGAACAAGCCACGTGGGAACTGATGAAGCCACAGCCACATCCAGTGTCCTCTGCAGCCGCTGTGGACTGCCGGGGGAGTGGGGGCAAATGCCGAGATCTTTATGACATGAGAGAAGCCAGGCGTGGAGCAGGGAAGTGTTAGGTTTAATTGGTGTGAACGACAGGATCACCGGAAAATACTGTTTTCATAGATAAAACTCTTTTTGTATAAAAGTCTGTAAAATGGCGATAGGAAATCTGTAATCATGATTTCAAGTGGGAGGGAATATGGGGTCAGGGGAGGAAGGGAAACTGTTCACTGCAAACAGCTTTTCCACTGGGATCAAAGGGTGGCTGACTCTGCCACTTCTACCTGAGGCACTCGAAAGACAGCACAGGCAAGAGTGTCATTGAATCTCTCCTTTTCCTCCTGAAGACAGATAAAAATGCCCACGTGAAAGATGCCCTCCCTGTACCAGGAAAAGAGATATTCTCTACAGGGAGGTAAGTCATAGCTGACAGAATTCTGTACAGACAGACATTAATTAAAGTACTTCCAGCCGGGTGCAGTGGCTCAAGCCTGTAATCCCAGCACTTTGAGAGGCCGAGGCGGGTGAATCACGAGGTCAAGAGATCGAGACCATCCTGGCCAACATGGTGAAACCCCGTCTCTACTAAAAATATAAAAAATTAGCTGGAAACGGTGGCACGTGCCTGTAATCCCAGCTACTCAGGAGGCTGAGGCAGGAGAATTGCCTGAACCCAGGAGGTGGAGGTTGCGGTGAGCCGAGATCGCGCCATCGCACTCCAGCCTGGGCAACAAGAGCAAAACTCCGTCTCAAAAAAAACAAAAAAGTAATTCCTGTCTTCCTGAAGCCTCCCCATCCGGTTTACTTTCCACGACTGCCCCTTTGTTCAAGCTTGTGCAAAAGCACATGGGTTTCATCACTTCTTTGGGTCTTTGCTTCCTATGAGGCTCCCGTGTCACATAGAAGTTAATTACATTTGTATCCATTTCTCCTGCCAATCCACCTTATTTCAATTTAATTCTCAGGCCCAGCCAGGACCCTAAGAGGAGGGAGGTAGATATTTGCCTCCTATATTAATTTTTTTCCAGCTTTTAATTGCTTTTTTTATTGCATTTTAGGTTTTGGGGTACATGTGAAGAACATGCAAGATAGTTGCATAGGTACACACGTGGCAGTGTGATTTGCTGCCTTCCTCCCCTTCACCCACGTCTGGCATTTCTCCCCATGCCATCTCTCCCCAACTCCCCACCCCGCACTGTCCCTCCCCTATTCCCCCCAACAGACCTCAGTGTGTAGTGCTCCCCTCCCTGTGTCCATGTGTTCTCATTGTTCAATACCCACCTATGAGTGAGAACATGCCTTGTTTGATTTTCTGTTATTGTGTCAGTTTGCTGAGAATGATGGTTTCCAGGTTCATCTATGTCCCTACAGTGGACACGACCTCATCGTTTTTGATGTCTGCATAATATTCCCTGGTGTATATGTGCCACATTTTCCCAATCCAGTCTATCATCGATGGGCATTTGGGTTGGTTCCAGGTCTTTGCTATTGTAAACAGTGCTGCAATGAACATTCGTGTGCATGTGTCCTTATAGTAGAACGATTTATAGTCCTTTGGATATATACCCAGTAATGGGATTGCTGGGTCAAATGGAATTTCTATTTCTAGGGTCTTGAGGAATCGCCACACTGTCTTCCACAATGGTTGAACTAATTTACACTCCCACTAGCAGTGTAAAAGTGTTCCTGTTTCTCCACATCCTCTCCAGCATCTGCTGTCTCCAGATTTTTTAATGATCGCCATTCTAACTGGTGTGAGATGGTATCTCAATGTGGTTTGGATTTGCATCTCTCTGATGACCAGTGACGATGAGCATAAAAACAGGGAACACTTCATGAATTTGTGTGTCATGCTTGCGCAGGGGCCATGCTAATCTTCTCTGTATCGTTCCAGTGTTAGCATATGTGCTGCCGAAGTGAGCGCTATCTTAATTTTTAAAAAGAAAATCTGGGGCCAGTTGTGGTGGCTCACGCCCATCATCCCAGCATTGTGGGAGGACTGCTTGAGCCCAGGAGTTCAAGACCAGTCTGGGGAACATAGGGAGATTGTGTCTCTAAAACAAAAACTTATTGGGGTGTGGTGGCACATGCCTGTGTCCCCAGCTATTCAGGAGGCTGAGGTGGGAGGATCACTTGAGCCCAGGAGGTCACCATTACAGTCAGGTATGATTGCACCACTGTTCCAGCCTGGGCAACAGAGTGAACCCTGTCTCTTAAATTTTTTTGTTTAATTAATTAGTTACCTGATTATCCCAGTTCCTTATTGTTGAGGGATTTTCTGCTGCGGTCCTTCTGCAGCCCCACCCATACATGAATGGCTTCTTTTGAAGCTTCCTCCTTTGTACATGGGGCAAGTAAAAAAGTTCTTCTTCAAAGTTTCCTTTTTTGTTAAAAGAATGAACTTGCAAATAACTCTTTGTGAAGCCCTATCCTATGCAGCTGGTAGACATGCCATGCTTACAGGCATGTAGTATATTCTATGTCCTTGTACTTTAACCAAGATGTCTGTGCTGGGCGTGCTCACAGGCATGCCCCAGCTTGCAGCCTGTGTCCCTTACCCGTTTAGAAAAGTTTTAAGTTATTAGTCAATCAGGTTTTAGTTTAGATTGTGAGGTCTGGCTCCAGCCAATGGAGATCAGACACAGCAATAAGGACAACCCCAAATGCATAAGGGATAAATATGCCTGCTTCTCATCTGTTGGTTGTACTCTCGTGGCAAGATGGCTAGCAAGGGTACCCTTCCTGCAGTACAGGAAGTAAAAAACTGCTTGCTGAGAGATCCTGTCTCAGTGCTGATTTTTCTGTGGCCCTAAGCATGTTTCCAACATACAGGTGAGTATCTTTGCCTCTGTCTTACTCTGTTTTGTGCTGCTGTAACAAAATACCACAGACTTCGTAATTTATATAATGAACAGCAATTTATTGGCTTATGGTTCTGGAGCCTGGGAAGTCCAAGACTAAAGGGCCAGCAGCTGGCAAGGACCTTCTTGCTGTGTCATCCCACAGTGGAACAGCAAAGAGAGGGCAAGAGTGTGCCAAAAGGGGGACAAACTAGTCCTTTCATAAAAAATACGTTGACAACAAACGCACGCCCATGACAACAACATTAATCATTCCCGACAGTGGGGTCCTCGTGGCCTAATCACTTTTTCAAGGTACTACATTTTAACACCGGTATGACAGGAATTAAATTTCAACAGAGGGGAGCAACATTCAAACCACAGTGGTCTCAAATACTGGGCTGCCAGTGGAAGAGGAGGCTGATCTTTAAAAAATACAGGCTTTAAAAACAGGGACAATCCCATGAAGTAAGCTCGCACTGGAATAGGTAACAGGTAGAGGGATCCAGGTGGATAAAACAATAGACATTCCCTGCATCCAAAGCACATAAAGAGGAGCCCTTTCACCTCAAGAGTCGCTGGGTTCAGATGCTGAAGGCACCCTGAAGGAACTCCAGACACACCAGCCTCTGCAGTTTTCACAGCCAGCAGCGTTCCTAGGTAGACTGGTTGAGAACAAATCTTGTTGGAGAGAGTACAAAGAATGGCTTGTGAATGCTCGATAGGTCTTTCGATATGTAAGTAGACATGACTTCCAGCCTAGAGGCTATCACCTTGGGCTGTGAGTGGCTTGTGTGGTCATCTGTCCATCTCTCGGCTGGGCCAGAAACTTGACATCCTTTCTGAGAGGTGGCCCAGGCTCTGCCTGGGACCCGCTACTCTTCTCCAAAGTACAGTTTGTGTGGATGGGTTTTTACTGTGGATCCTGGGCAGGCAAATGCTGGTGCCCAGTGTGGGGAAGCAGGGTAGAGGTGTGGCCATTCCCTGCTGGGCGTGGACTTGGCAGCCTTCCTTTGTGTGTGTTCCATAGTTTCTTCTCCACATGTCAGCTTTGTGGCTCCATGAGAACAAGGCGCTCCTGGAGGACAGGCATTGCATCTTACCTGTGGCCTCTCTTCCCTAACGCACCCCAGCGCAGACAGCACGCGGTGCAAGCAGTCAGATGAGCACGGGACCCAGCCCGTCACCTCGGTGCTATGCTTCCCATGTAGGTGGAGCAATACTTCATGCTAAGCAACTGTTCTGAGAACCAAAAGGAACACTGTAAAAGAACAAATTGACATGAAGGGAAGGTCAGATGGACTAGGGTGGCCAGGCGCGATGTGGCTCATGCTGGTAATCCCAGCGCTTGGGAGGCTGAGGCGGGAGGATCGCTGGAGCTCAGGAGTTTGAGACCAGCCTGGGTAACACATCGAGATCCCGGCTCTAGCAAAACATTGATAAAAATCAGCCGGGCGTGGCGGTGCCCACTGCTGGTCTCAGCCTTTTGACAGGCTGAGGCGGGAGGACCGCTGGAGCCCTGGAGGTCCGGGCTGCAGAGAGCCGATTTCGCCATTGCCTTGCAGCCTGGGACACAGCGCGGGCCTCCGTCTCAAATGCAGGATTTTAAGAGGCCAGCTCGACTGCCGCGGAGGTCGCGTCCTCTCCGCCCTCAACCCCGGCCCTGGGCCCCCCACGATCTAGACAGAAACTCGTTTCTCGTGCTCCGCGCCACCCCGGCCCTACTGCCTGTTCCTCCCCGGGGCGTCGGTGGAAGGCTGAGCAACGCGGTCGCGCATCCCCGACCCTGCGGCCGCCAGAGCCGCTTCCGGGCACTTCCGGCGCCCGTGGCTCCCGTTTCCGCCGGGCGGCGAGAGCGCCGGACCAGCTTCCGGTAGGAGCGTTCGCGGAGCTCCGCTGGGAAGATGGGGAAAGTGAGGGGGCTGCGCGCCCGCGTGCACCAGGCTGCCGTGAGGCCCAAGGGGGAGGCCGGCCCCGGCCCCGGCCCCGCGCCCCCTGCCCCGGAGGCGGCCCCTCCGCCGGCCTCGGCCGGGAGGAAGGTGAGTGGGGGCGCCGCGTGGGTGGGGTGGGTGAGCTGCGGGGCGCCGCCTCCGGGAGGGGTCGAGGCCGAGGCAGGAGGACCGTTTGAATCCACGAGGCGGAGGTTGTGGTTAGCCGAGCTCACGCCGCTCGACTCCAGCCTGGGCAACAGAGCAAGGTGTCGTCTCAAAGAAAACAGTTTCCATCTCGTTACTGATGTTTTCTGTTTGCTATGAGAACGTCGTCATACCTTCCTTTAGACACGGTCTCTTTGTCTCTTCTAGTCCCTGGAAGTACGAATATGGCTCCTATGAATTCTTTACCTGCGGGTACACGTGGGCTTCTCAAAGCAGTTTCTGTTGTGTGGCTCATGCTTTCCTCGTACTTTGAATGTATCGTTTGGGGTGTGTGTGTGTGTGTGTGTGTGTAAAATTGGGCATTTTGGATAGTCCTGTAGCAACCAGGGATTAGTATTTGCCTGACAAGTTTGTTTATTGACCTGGCACTGAACCATGTGGCCATGGTTCTCTCTCCTTGTCCCCTTCTGGCTGTGTGCAGCCTCTGATGTGCCCCCTTGCTCTTTTTTTCCTGTTTTTACCTTTTAGCCTGGCTACTTGGATCTCAAGTTCCTTACTGGTCAGCAGTTATTCTTAATGCCTCCTGGGCCAGTGAGTTTTTGCCCTTTGCCACTGGATACCTCTGGCTTGGAGGTGGCTTTCAGGTTCAGCGTGTTTACATTTTCAACCTCCATTCCGCCCTCCGAGAGGCACCGCCAAGGACTAGTCACTTACAGAATCCCTCTGCTCACTCTTGGGAGGGAGCGTCCTTGAACGTGCGTCCAGCCTCCAGACTGCCAGGGATGCGGCTTCCTGGGAGCCATTCCTGGGCCAGAGGGGCTTACTGTCTACCTAGGAGCCTTGGGCACCTTGCCCTCTGCACCCATCACCACCCAGAGTTCCTTCCTGGTCAACAGCACCCTTAGGCGTGAGATCCCTCACACCAGTTCCCGACAAAGTGAATCCCCTCTGGCAAAGCTGTGGAGTTCTTCCTCCTTGCAGCCTACCTCCCTGGACAGGAACTCCATGTCAGGACACCAGAGATGTGGCAGGAGCAGCTTCAACTCCCTAGTCACCTGCGTTCCTCGAAACCTGTGCCCTGCTGGTGGCTGAGGTGGGGCTGATTGGGACCCAGTGTTGTGATGTCCCTGCCTGGGGTGGAAATTAGAAAATAGAATTATCAGACAGAAACCAAAAAAATAAGTGTCTCTGAAAAATTTTTATTTTTTATTATTTTATTTATTTATTTATTTATTTATTTTGAGACAGAGTCTTGCTCTGTCGCCAGGCTGGAGTGCAGTGGCACAATCTTGGCTCACTGCAACCTCCACCTCCTGGGTTCAAGTGATTCTTCTGCCTCAGCCTCCAGGGTAGCTGGGACCACAGGCATGTGCCGCCATGCCCAGCTATTTTTTGTATTTTTTTAGTAGAGACGGGGTTTCACCATGTTGGCCAGGATGGTCTCGAGCACTTGACCTCATGATCCGCCCGTCTCAGCCTCCCAAAGTGCTGGGATTCCAGGCCTGAGCCACCACGCCCAGTCTGAAAATGCTGAAGACATAATTCAGGAATCATAGAAAGGAACAAAAAGCCCTTAAAAAGACTAGGCAAATTTGAAGAAAAAAGCAAGAGACGGAACTTCTATATCTGGAAAATATAGTTATTGAACTTGAACATGGAATAATCGGGTAGAAAGGATTTCCAGCATCTAATCAAATAATGGCATTGTAATCCTTGAAAGACATTCAAATGATGTAACACCAGCATTTTTTATGTTAAGCTCCAAAAATATGCATGAATGAGGTGTAAAGTGCCACCGTGGAGAATGTTCCAGGTACTGTGGGAAAAGCAGTCGTATGCTGTACGCCACCATACATTAATGATCTGGAAGGCTGCACGCTCCACCCCTTGTCCCTACCTGATCCCTGTTTACCTGTGAGACCTCAGCCTACCCGTGCTGCCTTAGCCATCTGCCCGCCCAGAGGAGGAAGGCTTCTGTGGTCTCCAGCACTGTTTCCCCGCAAGTCTGACATTTTCCCACGTACCGACTTTCTGTCCTTGCCACATAGGGATGAGAGCAAGGACTTCTCCGTCAGGTGCTGTGGGTGAGGGTGCCTGGGGAGCTGCAGTCCAGCCCAGCACCTCTTGTTATCCTGGCTGCCTTCTGTCTCTTCCTGTAATGTGAGGGAGGCCACATTTTACCTCCACCTTCAGGGTTTTTAGGTTGAGCCTGAGATTCAGACTCATGTAAGACAGATTAACAGGAGAAAAGCTTACAGATTTGTTGAAGTTTTGTGTGACATGGGAGCCTCCTAAGGAAATGTAGCCTCAAGGAAGTGGGAGGACATTTGTGCTTCTGTGAAGGCGGGAGAGGCTGACAGAGGCAGTTGTAGGAAACTAAACCACTCTAGAGGCTGCAGGAGGGGAGTGGGCGTGTGACCAGGTCTGTCTGTACTGTGTTCTCCTGGCTCCTCTGATCTGTCCCTGATGATAAGATTGTTACTTTCCTTCTGGTGGAGGAGGGCATCTTCCTTGTGGGGATTTTTATCTCCTTTCAGGAAAAAGGGAGGAGCTGATGAGCCCTCTTGGCACCTGCTATATTTTAAGTGTCTTTAGCTCAAAATAATTCTTTGCCAAAGTGACATGTTTTGGGGTGGCGTCCTCTGACACCCTTGAGAAGCCTCTGTTTCGGTTGCCTTCCCTGCCAAGGTCAGTGAGGCTTCCATGTGAGTGGGCCGGGCAGCATGGAGCAGGGACTGGGCTTCTGTCTGCTCACAGTGTGGTCGGCAGCTGACTTGGAGGATCTGAAATCTTCATGTAGGGATGAGTGTGGCTCAGAAGCAGACCCGAAAAGAGGCCACTGAGATGAGCAGTTCCTATGGGATGTGGTCAGTCCGCGCTGAATGAGCCGGCAGCCTGGGAGCTGCACATCCTTCATCTGCTCAGCTTGGGTTTCTCCTGCGACACGGGAGAATGTTGTAGAAAGAATAAGACAAGACGGTTGGGAAGGAAATTTGGTTCTTGAGATACCGATCCTGACTCCTGAAGAACCAGGAGTGAAGCCCATCTGGTGATTTAAGGCAGGGAGCAGGTGGGCCTGGGCATTGTGGGTCTGCTCTGGAGCTCTGGGACTGGAGGCTCCTGCTCTGGGAGGTAAGGGTTATTTCCCTGAGGTCCTCATGGGCAGAGAAACTGGGGAATCTGGATTCTTGTCTCCCATCTTCTCCTCACCTTTAATTTCCCTCTGAAATCACAGAGCAAGTCTCACACCTCTTCTTTCCTGCCTTTATTGTTGGGGACCTTAGGACTGGGCGTTCGTCGACACCAATATCTTTGCCAGGACCAAGATAGACCCCAGCGCCTTGGTGCAGAGGCTGGAGCTGGACGTGAGGAGCGCCGCTTCCGTCAGGAGAGGTGAGGCAGCCTGGAGTGCGCGGGTCGCCGTGCTCATGCCCAGCAGATCTGGGATCACTCACTCACATGCTGAGGTCTTTGCAACTTTCCAGCTAAGCTGTGCCTGACTGTCCTTGAGCAAGGGTCCCCTGGCAGTTTCTCAGGGTGATCCCCCAGAGTAGACTGCAGCTGTGGTTTTGCCCCTGGGCTGCATCTTGTCTCCCCAGCTCCCTGGGTCCTGGCAGCAGCGTGGGCTAAACTGTGCCTGGAGACTGAAGCCACAGGAGCTTGGGCTGCTTTGGTGACCAACAGGGTTTGAACTGTTTTCTCTCTATGTGCTGATTCTCTCATGGTCTGTATGTTTGGGCAGTTCGATCACTTTTCTTGAACAAGTGCTTTACGTGTTGCAAAGGTAAGCTCTTTATCATTTTGTACAGGCAACTCTTAAGGGTTTAGATCCGGAAGCCCAGTCGGGGTCCTGTCAGTTTCATCAGAGCCTGCACAGCCCCGCTTCCCGGTCTCTTGCTTGTGCCCCTTGCAGCCCTGAAGCACACACGGCAGCCTGGCCGGGGAGAGTCTGGGAACTCACACTCGCTCCAGTTTCCTGAGCACAGCGGGGAACACAGTCCCTTGTGCGTCCTGTAGAGTCAGGTGTTTCAGAGAATTCCAGGCCGCCGTGGTCAGCGCCGGCTGTGTCGGCTGCCCTGGCTGGAGGGTGGTGGCCAGTCTCTCCGCAGGGAAGGATCCAGGAAAGAGCTTCCTTCACTCATCTACAGGAGTCAGGGACACAAGGGACACTTTTTATGTCTTCATAGCCTCGTGGAGCCACGGGCTGGGGAGGGAGAGGGCTTGGCGTGTGGGTGCAGAGCTTGAGGCACCGCGTGACAGTGAAGATGGGCCACCCGTTAAGAGCCTGGGCTCCGGGCCTCTGCTCCTCACCGCCTGGTGGCCCCTGGCTGGACACTTGCTCGCTCTGGGCCAGGGTTTTGCATCTGTCAAAGAAGGTAATAGTTCTCGGAGCTTCGAGGTTGAGATGAGTCAGTTGACGTGAAATGTTTCAGACAGTGCAGTGAAGGCTGTGGAGGTGCTGGCCAGGTGGCAAGGCAGGCGACGGTGGGCTTTGCACCTGCCCTGATTCCTTGGGCACAAGTCATGTGATCATGGGCACCCTCTGACCCTTAGTTTTGTTGTCCACACAGTGGCGACAGACACAGCTCATAGATGCTGAAGGCTTCACTGTGCATCTAGAGAGATCCAGGCACTTAGGCCGGGCGCGGTGGCTCACGCCTGTAATCCTAGCACTTTGGGAGGCCGAGGTGGGTGGATCACGAGGTCAGGAGTTCTAGAAAGATCCAGGCACTTTTAACCGGTGCTGGTTTCCTGCGCCTTCTCTCCAAGGAGGACCTGGTGATGCGACCAGGCCAGGCAACTTCAGAGAGGAGCTGTGCCTTCCAGCCAGGAAGGGTTGACGTGAGTGGTCTCTGGCTGCCCCCAAGGGGAGGGGAGCATGGGTCTCACTGACCTGGCTCTGCCCTGAGCCTCTCCAAGCTCTTTCACACCGCGGCCTCTTTCCCCTGTCTTTTCTTAGCCCTCTCCCTTCAAACCCCTGTGGCTCGTCTGGTGCCTAAAGTCACCTGTTACACGGACCCTCACGTCCCCTCTTCCCCGCCTAATTTAGGGAGGCATCACGCTCACGACCCCTCTTGCCTACCAGGAAACTCCTCTTTAGCAAGATCTGGCCTCTTGGCGGAGGTCGCGCCCAGAGGCCCTGTGGCTTCTCCTTTGAGCCACCCTGGGCCTTTGTTTTTTGTAAGCTCAAACCTCAATAACTTAGAGTCACTGGTGGGAGAGGGTGGAAGCCTGAACATTACCGTGTTGAAGATGGATTTCACATTTCAGAACCACTTATGAAAGTAGAGCATAGAGATGTTTTACTGAAATAATTGAATAATAAGTTGAAAAAGTTTTTGTGAATCCATTGGATAATGAATTTTTTTTCTTAATTTACATACTGTTATTTGTGCATAAAAACCTTAAAGCTCACACCAACTGGACGTTAGCGTGGCCGTCTGGTCTCCCCAGCCCTGAGCTCGTG